GAAACGAATCATTTGATTCGGTGCTCGGTAAAATAAAAATAATTTGTACACAACAGCTGGCTGGAATAAAAATTCAACTAGCTTATTTGAAAAGCTACCTAAAAAAGTTTATCAAATAAGTTCGAGCTTTTTAAAAAAATCTATCCTACCAAACGAGACTTATTTGAATACATGAAACTTATAAACTAACCAAATAAACTATAAACTAGCTTTATTGTCTACCAAACACAGCTTACTAGCCATACTAATTAGTATATATCATAAAACATAGTTTGTAGGTTATGATAATTATAAATATAATTAGTATTTTTTCTAAACTCGCCCTAGAGCCCGCCACTAAGTGCCTTTTAGATCATTCATATTTTATTAGGAGTTTTTTTAATACAAGGCCCGAAAAATAGGTAAACTATCAATTCAGGGCCTGAAAGATTTTTTTCTTAATTCGGGACCTGGATGTTATAAAACTACCAAATTAAGTCTTACAATTAACAACACTGATAAAACCATTGAATTGAGAGTTAATTTTAAGTTTAAAAACACCAAATATGTTTTTTTTATATATATATATTTTACAAATGTTTACTTATTATTTTATGTGAGTAAGCAACAATTTTTTATTTTTCTTCGAATTTAGTGTTTTAAAACTTAAAATTAACTTTCAATTTAATGGTTTTATGAGTGTTGTTAATTGTAGGAGTTAATTTGATAGTTTTATAACATTCAGGTCCCGAATTGAGAAAAAAAAATCTTTCAAACCCCGAATTGATAGTTTACCTTTCTTTCAGGTCTTGTATTGAAAAAACTCTATTTTATTATTGGTTGGGATGTTATTTCTCCGAATTTTGATGTAACTTGAAAACAAACTCTGAATATTGATGTCGTTTAAAGAAGAAACAAAGAAATAATAATTTATGTTTTATATATCAAATAATTTAAATCTTACATTAAAATATTAGTTTCTTAAATTACTTCCTCTTTTTATAAAAAATAAATTGCGTACATCATCTTAGCATTTTTGTATTATTTATATAAAATATGCATATATGCATTCACGTGAGCTCCGAAATTTGTCATTTTTTTTCGTTATTTTTTTTTTTTCGAAACGATAGACGGTAATTTGCCATCATAATACGTTAATTTCCACAGATTGACTGATACAAACCCACCAACAAATTTCATTAGGAACTCCAAACTTGTGTGGAATAATATTTTAATTTCAAAGCTAAAATTCCTTGTAAAGTTTAACTTAACATAGTGTTTGGTTCGAGGGAAAATAAGGGGAGGGGAAGGGAGGGTAGGGAAACTTCTAATTTTCCTCTGTTTGGTTCAATCTTTTGTAGAGGGGAGGGGATGAGATTTTCCCCTCTAATTCACGCGCAGAGGAAAAATAGCTCCCCTCCAAAATTGGGAGGATTTGGAGGGGAAGGAAAATGTGAAGATGTAACATTACCTTCTTGTCCTTAATATTAATATTATTTTATTGTTATATATCTTATATCATTAAGGGTAAAATAGTCAATTCAACATTATTTTCCCTCCCTTTCCATTTTCTAACCAAACAAGATTAATAATTTTCCTTCACCTCTCCTCATACAAAATCCCTCCAAACAAGGTAAAATTACTTTCCCTCCCTTCCCCTCCCCTCCCTTCTCTTCCATTAAATTCCCTCCCCTCCCCTCCCCTCCTTTGAACCAAACATCAGAGTTAGTTTAAAGGCTCCAAAACTGGTCCCCCACTGCAAGTCACACTATTCAGGCTATTCTATCTTTCACAAGTTATAGCTATCAACTGCTAACAACTTGGTTCATCTCCTTAAAAAAAAAAAATAAATAAATAAATAAATAAATAAATGTTTATGTCACAAAATGTGGCTACTCAACACATATGCTGCCGACAATATCAAACTTGTGACACAACTTTCTGAGATTTTGATAGAGAGGGCAAAAACATCATGACATACACTCTCCTTCATAACATTTACCCAAAAGAAAATGCTATATTTTGGTTTTAAATTTAATTTTCATCTACCAAAATAAAGTCTAACATGTGCACCAACTCATGCATACAGTTTTTGTTAGTTATACTCACTTGTACATAATGTTATATATACATCTCACTTGTACATAATGCTCTCTCTCTCTCTCTCTCTCTCTCTCTCACACACACACACACACACACACACACACACACACAAGTTCTCCAAAAGGAGACTGAAAAGGATGTCCGGTTGTTATTTCTGTATGCTTCCCAAAGTAATTAAAGATTTCTTGGACAAATTCACGATCGAGTCGGCTATCACTTTAGCGCTAGATTTCATGTAACCACCTGAAAAACAAAACCTAATGAAATGCACCATTGTTTTGCATATACGATGGCAAAGTGAAAAAAAAAAAAAAAAAAAA